TTTAATAGAATTTTTTTTTTTTTTTTTTTTTTTTAGTTTAACGTGTTAAAAATATTTAACGCAATTAACACAGCATTCATTTTTTTCCTGCCGTCTTTGGCTAGTGTTACAGTAGACTATATGAACACAATCAAGCACAATAAGAAACAACAAATAAATTGATTCCATACTGGCGGTACTGCGTCTGTGAAGCAGCTTTCTGTAAACACAGGCATCACAGGCACAGGCACAGGAAAAAAAAAAAGACCACGGGGTGAAGGTTTGGCGGCAGGCCAGTGTGACTTGGACCCGGTGAGTGCCACGTTGCCACGCTCACCTCAGAACTTGGCCATGGAGCCAGTGTTGAAGCTGTTTCATATGAAGCAGCCCCAGCAGTGTGACTGCCGCCGCGGCTGCCATATGCCCCAGGAGCCTCTGAAAGTGTTTCAGTGGGACCGACGTCCTGCTCTTGAACATATTCAGGCAGTTCAACACCGACTGAGCACGTTACTTCATGAGACGTGCTGTCTGTTCGACCGAATCCAACTCCATACTGAGAAAAGAGATCCTCTGCGTTGGGGCGAGTTTGCTCTTTTCCCTGACGGCCCAAACGGCTGAGGTGCGAGAGCAGTGTTTGCACAACCAATCCTGAGACTGAGCTAGTATGAGCCAGTCGTCGAGGTAGTTGAGAATGCGAATGCTCAGGGGAACAAGGGCTGCCTCTGCCACTTTCGTGAAGACACGGGGCGACAGGGACAGCCCGGAGGGCAGGACCTTGTACTGATATGCTCGACTTTTGAACGCGAACCGCAGGAATGGTCTGTGGCGCGGATGGATCGACACATAAAACTACGCATCCTTCAGGTCGATTGCTGCAAACCAATCTTGGGGACTGACGCACCCGAAGATGTGCTTCTGCCTGAGCATCTTGAACGGTAGCTTGTGAAGGGCCCGGTTCAAGACATGCAGGTCCAAGATTGGTCATAACCCACCGCCGTTCTTAGGTACAATGAAGAAAAGCTGTAAAACCCTGTCTTCATATCGGCTGGAGGGACCGGCATTATCGTGTCCTTCGCCAGTAGGACTGCAATCTTTGCACGCAAGACAGGGGCATCTGTAGGGGCACCCGTGGCACTGAAGTGAAATGGACGCCCCTGAACTTGGGAGGACGCCGGGTGAACTGAATCGCATAGCCGAGTCTGATGGTCTGAAGGAGCCAATGAGACGGACTGGGCAGCGTTAGCCAGGCTCCCAGGTAACGCACAAGTGGGACCAACGGAACCACCAACTTACCCACAGTGGGGCAGCGAGAAGGAACGCAGGGACCCAGCCCAGGTGTCTCGTGGCCGGTCCGAAGCGGGCTCTGAGTGTGTGGCACACTTACCTGCGTTCGGGCAGGGGGTGCGTGAGTAGTACATTTGATAGCACTCTCGAACCACCCACTGCTGCCTACTGGCGAGCGAGGAGGGTGAGTGCGATTCCAGACTGGCCTGTCCACAACTCCCCATCCCCTCTGGGGACCCAGAGATTGAGAAAACTGCTCTTTTGTCGAGGTTTTGGGTATCACTGACCGTGAAGTCAGTGGTGGGAAAAAATGAAACAAAAGATTCTCCGCCCGGCCCTTCTCTGGGGAAGGGAGTGGTGCATTCACCATCTCCCGAAGAGCAACTTTCTCCATCTCTGGGTCGCCGGTCTCAGGGCCTCTTGTTCTTCCGCTTGCCACCAGGTTTGGTGGGGGCCTGGACGGGCGGGGCGGCTACCCTGTGGACGGCTCCAATTCGCAGCTTTGTTGGAGGCTGATGCGTTTGATGGCCTCGGTCTGCTTCTGTGCGGTGGAGAACTGCTGGGCAAAGTTCTTCACCGCGTCGCTGAAGAGGTCGGTCTGGGACACGGGGGCATTTAAGAACCGAGTCTTGTCGGTCTCCCTCATTTTGGACAGACAGCCAGAGATGGCGCTCCTGGACCACCATAGTGGACATCACACGACCCAGAGACCAGACAGTGAAATCAGCTCACAGACAATTTGCGGGCTATATATATATTTTTTTTAATAATTACAGTCTTGCTCGAGAACTCCGGTCTGACGCACGCGGGTTCTCGCGTTATTTCCTTATCACTTCTCGCATGTGTTTTGTTGTGAAACGTAGTTTGCGGACCAGACAGAGCTGTTGGCGATTCTTCCTATTGTGAAGTCATGCAGTGTGAAACCCCCTGCCGCCGATCCATCGTGCAATGTGAACACAGCAGCAAATGAATGCTACCCCAGATAGTCACGCAGTGTGAAAACAACGGTGATCTGACGAGTTTGAAAATCGTGCAGTGTGAACTCGGCATTAGAGATCTCTCTAAGCGAGATCCCAATTCTTTGGTCACCGACGTTACTCGGAGTGACTGACCGAAAGGGAACAAGCAGTTAGTAAATGAATAGAGTGCAAATCTAAAAGGGGCAAGTTTTTTTTGTATTTGAAGTCTAAAAAAAGTACATCCTCGCCTAAAAAAATCTTACAATTACATTATGTGACACAATACAGTATTATTTATAAAATGATAGTGTATTTGGGCATCCACCATGACACTCGCTTTGAGATATACTGCAAGCGGAGTGATACAAATGGTGAAACAGTTCCCATGGCGATACTTGCATCATTTTTATAAAATTATAGTGGGTTTGTGCGTCCGCCATGACACGCGCTGTGAGAAATACTGCAAGCAGAGTGATGCAAACAGTAAAGCGGTTCCCATAGCGATATTGGTGAATATCTCATGCTTGGAAAGACCTCTCAGCCAATCAGATTCGAGGACCAGAAATAACTGTTGTATAATATGATTTAATATAATATAGAACTTCATATAATTATAGAACTTCTATATAATATACAACTTCAAGCTGTGCAAGTTTTTTGGGTTTTTTTCCCACAGATTATAAACTATCTACTGGTTGAAGCAATTCTACCATCACATTTTATCCCACCCAGTCTGAATAGCCTCACACTAGGGCTGAAACGATTCCTCGAATACCTAGAGTAATTCGAATACAAAAATCATCGAGGCAACTTATTTGCCTCAAGGCTTCGTTTAGTCCATTTACTGTAACTACACACGGAACACAGTGTTTCCCCACGGACCATTATTACTGACGCACAACCCGATAAACGCTGGACCAGACCATAGACTGTATAAAAACAGGGACCAGACTTTAAAAAAAGCACTGGACATTTTTAAGTCCGTAAATCAATATGGTGGCTAGGTATAATGTCCCTACGTTTGCTATGTTTTGTGAAAGACTAAACGCCATTGTGCATAAAGATACCACAGAAAGAAAGTTAGTCAATATCACATGAAGAGTGCCAGTTTTCACCTCTAAAATCAGTATGATTACAAATGTGATTTTATTCAACAGTTCAATAAACAAGAAGGTAATATTATGAGACTTACGTTTTAGACACTATATTGCCTGTTTTTGCTTTGCCAACAAAAATTCCAAACACAGCCACAGCGTTGTTTTGCGTCTCTGTGCAACATGACGGCGTTTCGTTCCTGAATGAATCAACCATTTAAATTATTTGTTTCAATCGCAATGACTCACTTCTTAAAAGTGACTTGCTGCCACCTGCTGGTGGTTTTTTCGTTTTTAAAATAATTTTAAATATCAGTATTCAATGTTTTATGTTTAAAATAACAAAATATTATTTATGCATTTGTAACTGCAGATTAAATGCATTCATGTCCCTCTGTGTTTCTTCTGTGTTTCCTCTGCATTGTAAAGATGAATTTTGATACTGAAATCATTTGTTTGGTAACAGCCCAAATGTCTTTTATTCTAATTGACTGATTAAATGTAAGAATTTGACTCAAAAGATGATGCTGATTTTAGAAAAAAAAAAGGCTTCATAAAGGTAAAAATGCCCATAAAATTTAAAAATAAATTTAAACTTATTGGAACAGATTAATTTCTATCACTGCTGTGAACTGACCCGCACAAAGAACATGAATCAAAAACAAGTTTTACACACACACACACACACACACACACACACACACACACACACACACACACACACACACACACACACACGTACGTGTCATGTTTGAGCTTTAGTTAGGCTGAAACTTAAAAGTTAAGTTGCACGACATAAATGCAATGTTTAGGCATTATTATTATTTTTATTACTATTATTTTTATGTATGCCTTAGTTTTAGTTTGTATTGTTTACCTTTTTTAAAGTAATGTGAAATTGATTTTTGTATTTTTATTTTTGTATTTTATTTTTTTATTGATATATTTGTATTTGCATTTTGAATACAATTTGGCAATTCAATACATTAAATGGGTTTAGTTTTCACGGTTATTAGCACTTTTAGCAATAAAAATTTTAATTTTTCTAAAAAGAAAACAAATTAGTTGTTTATTTTAAGAGATCTATCTTATTATCTCTTGTTTATTTAGTATTGCACTTTAATAAAGAAAGATGACTTCTTATCCGATTACTCGATTAATCGATGGAATAATCTGTAGAATACGCTATTACTAAAATAATCGATAGCTACAGCCCTACCTCACACACACACACACAATCACAATCATATATTACGCTCACACTCTTGGAAACCTCCTGACATTTTTGTGTTTATATACACTTCTTTTCAGGGTCAGCAGCTGGTTTTTAGAGAGCTTGTAAACTGAAAATCCAGGGGGCCATGTTCCTGATAGCTGCCAGAGCTCTGCATGTTATAAATAGTTGAATTTCAGAAGCACATAATTTGATTCATGACATTCCTTGAGAGGCCATTTATGGTGTGAGAAAGGTACGGGCCGGACCGGAGAACTCTCGCTTTGAAGTCTGCACAGATAGCAAATTAATTCCATATGATACAAAATCCATCCCATGCCCTCAAGTCTTGACCATTTTAGGCCATGACTGCCAGAGCAAGAACCTCTGAGAGCTCTGCAACGCTGCTTGATTAGTGTTTAGCAGAACTACTGTTAAAAACCATGGAAAGTGCAGCACAGAGTTAAGTCAATAAAATAGAGGGATCTGAGACATATTTAGAGACATACCTGTAAGCACCCACCTAGCAAACATCCAGAACACCCTACCAACCACACACAACTTCCTAGCATGGCACATCCTAGCAAGATACATTTAGCATGCTAATATTTGCTGTGGCTAGCTAGTCGAACCTTGCAATTGTGTATAATTGCGTAATCCATTAACAATGTCAGGAGCACATATAAAATCACTAATTAACTGGGTTGCTTAAAATTATCCGCATTCTGTTATGTTTGATTAATATGAACAAATTATATTTTCTGACAATGGAGAAAAAAAATGATATTGATTTAAATTAATTGATTAGTGTTTTTTTTTTTTTTGACCAATGGAATTTAACTACATCAAAGTAGTTTGCATTAATTTCAGAAAATTTTAAATCTATTTAACCTTTGTTAGCTTTAACTTTAGTACTTTAGTTTTGCTTCCACATATAAAACTGACAAAAGGTCCTCTCAAGAAAAACATTAAATAGATTTAATAAATGTTCCTTCAAAATTAATATATATATATATATATATATATATAAAATAGTGCTGTCAATCAAAATAACTAATAAAATAAAAAAACTAATGAATAAAATAACTGTCACGGTTATGTCCCGCCATAGTCAGCTCACCCTCAGCCATGATGCAGGGGGCGGAGCTCCTCTCCGCGCTCACACCGTCCACGACCTGCTCCCTCGTGGTGGGTACTGTCACCGGCTCTCGCACCTGGTCTGACGTGTCGGGCTCACTATCCGAGGCTATCCTCTTAGCCGCGGGGCTTTGCTCCGGCTCGTGGATCGTGGGCGGGAAATGGCTCTCCGTCATCGGTGGGTTCAGGCTTATGCTCCGTACCATGGTGAGATGGTGGGCTGGGCTCAGGGTCCTGAGTGGGGCTGGTGTTGTTGTCAGCGATGTCCACGGTTAGATGGGACTTGCAGGACACCAGCACCCACTCGATAAAGGTGGCGAGGCTCTCTCGGGGACCATCCCCAGACAACTGCGCTCGTGCGGT